TAGCAGTTCACTTCCCCATTCAATTAGATTTTTTGCCCGCAGCTTGTCTGCGGTGTTTACAACCTGGCCTCTGACTCTGACTATACCCTTTGCACAGAAAATAATATAAAAGCAAATGCATTTAAGAGCTCGTCACACAGGTTTGAAAGCGTGGCATGAAATGGGTTTCTCCGTAGACTGTTTCGTGCCTGGCGTCTCCTGTTTGTTGTCCGTAGAGGAGACACATCTCAGCCCTGCTTCTCTGGTGCTGCTGGTCCAGGCTACTGCCTTCCCCTCACCCCCCTGGCCCTGCCTTTGCCCATCTAGCAACTTGCCTGCGTGTGTTGAGAGAGAGAGGGGAGCCACAGACATCATAGGCTCTGTCTCCCCAAGATTCCCCCAAGGCTAGGGCCCTGGAAGCCAGGGAAGCCCTGCAGGGCCAGTACACTGTGTGACTCCTCTGTGAGCTGAGCTATCCAGCACCACCTGCCCCCGGGGTGGGGGTAGGGGGGAGTAAAGTGCCCTTCTGAGCCGGCAGTTCCCAAGGTGGTCCATGTAAGGAAGTTCCTGGCTTTCCTGAGAACCAGACTGGTGGTCTCAGCCTCACTTCCCCCGTCGCAGGGAGTGTCCCTGGGCCAATGTGTCTGTACGGCTGCTCTTTAATAATAATCACTACCATTTGGAGACATTTTCTAGGTATTCTAGATAGTGCGAGACACACACTATATCACATGACGCTGGATGAGAAAATAGAGGCTCAGAGAAGTCAAGTGGCTTTGTCAAGGTCACGAAGCCTCAGAGAAGAGAGCTGAGATGAACTCAGGGCTTTCAAACCCAAGCCAGAATCCTCCCCTGCTCCAGATTCACACCAGGGTTCCTAATCGGGGATAAGAGGTTCCATGAACCCCTTAAAATTGTATGGAAAATGTAATGTGCCCCTGCACTTTTCTGGAGAAAGTCCCAAGGCTTTTAAACAGAGGTATGTTTTTTGTGAGGGTAATATTCATGAAATGTTTAAAGATACAATTCTTGCTTTCAGTAATATCAAAAGTGGACTTTGGTGCCATCCTAAGAGGACAGAGGTGCGTCTTAAACATCCCCAACTTTTTCTCCCTGTATGAAGCCTCTTTGTTTTGACTGTTGTTTTCATTATTAGTTAATCAGCTCTCCTGGGGGTGGGTAGAAATGTGGAGACCCAAAAGGCCATAAATCTTGCCCTGGGAGAGGGGAAATCCCCCTCTCCCCTCCTTCCCTATGCTGGTATCAGCTGTCAGAGCAGCACTCAGGGCAAACTGGGCTTCTAATCCCCAGCTTGGACATTGGAATTCCCTCTAGGGAAGAACAGAAGGAAAGCAAGAGGGTCAGATCCACATGGACAATGCCTTTAGCAGGACACACACATGCTCTGTCCCCCTAACCTAGGAAGCAGAATTCTGAGATCTTAGGGTAGGTGAGGAAGGGAAGGAACAGAATGGGGTGGGAAGAAAGAAAAAGAGAGAGAGAGAGATTGTGTTGGCCACGGCTTGGGATTTATTTATTGTGCTCACTGTTGATTAAGCTCGCTCCGCAGCAGGCGCGGGGCCGGTAAATACACAGGCTGATTCATTAGATTCTGACCATCTGCTTCCCCGGCCTGGGGCGGGGGGCGGTGGGCCCTATAGGTCAGGGTAGCTCGGGATTGGAGACAGCCAGCTTGGCGCCCCCGTCTCCTGGCAGAGCCCGCTGCGTCAGTCTACCCAGTGACAGGCCAGTGCAGTTGGGGGCTTTGAGGGGTCCTATGTGACCCTACCCCATGGAGACCACCAGGAGGGTAGGCAGAGTGGGGCGAGGTAAGTGAGGACGACCAAGAGGAACCAGGGAAAAGGTGAGGTGTGGGTGACTCACTCCAACTGGGGGTGGACAGGGATAATATCAAAGCTCAATATGAGATATATTATTAATGTGATTGTTGTTATATTAATAGCTACTTAATATAAAAATAATAGCTATAATTTAGTGAGCAGTTACTGAGGTCCAGGCTATATATGAAGACTTCACTACAGCTCCTATAAGGGAACTGGGTTTGGAGATTGAGTCAGGTAAGGAGGGCTGCCTGGAGGAGGCACATGGGGGAGGACTCTGGAAACCAGGAGAAGAGACAGTGGCTGAAGGAGCAAACTCCAAGGTCGGGGGCAGCCTGGGAAAAGGCACTGAAGCTTCGGTGCTGGGTTGGTAAGAGTTTTCCAGACAGTGCAGCCTGATGCCACCTGGTGCCAGCATGCTGAGGAGCCAGGCTAATCATCAAAAAGTCACAATTCAGTGCCACCCCCTCTGAGCTGTTCCTCCACCCCATCACCCTCTGCTCATCTGGGACATGGAGTGTCTTACTTTGCCACACACGGCGTGGCTTGAACAACAGATGTTTATTCTCTCACAGTTCTGGAGACTGGAGGTCCAGCATAAAGGTGTTGGCAGGTTTGGTTTCCTCTGGGGCCTCTCTCCTTGGCTTGCAGACACCTGCCTGCCCCCTGTGCCTTCACGTGGCCTCTTCTCTGTGCAGGGTGCCCCCGTGTCTCTCCACCTGCCCTACTCTCCTCTTCTAAGGACACCAAGCAGACTGGATAAGGGCCTCATTTAACCTTAACCTCTCAGTTCTCCAACTCTCCTGTCCCCAATTACAGGTATTAGGGCTTCAGTATAGGAATTTGAGGGGTCACAGTTCAGCCCCTAACAAGGCCAGGACTACAGGGAGAGGGTGATTGCTGGGCTGGGAAAGGAATGAACCTGGGTACAGACTGCCTCCTACCCTGGTGCAAGCTCTAAGGGCATGCGCCCCCTGCTCGTCCCCAGTGGCACAGCCAGAGCCCTTTCCACCTCTGGACTCAGAGCCCTCTCGCCTGCAGCCTGCTACCCTCTCAAGCCTCTGAGCCACCCCCATAAGTCTCCCAGCCTGTCTCTGTTCACGTGACAACCCAGGACAGGATGTGACTTGCTCAGAGTCACCCAATTAGAGGATGAGGAAGTTTGGCCCCTTCATGAGCCAAAATAGGTCCCTCTACCTGCTGTGGTGCTTAGGAGCTCACCAGCCAGGCAGAAGCAGGCTTGTCCTCAGAATTACCACCAGGGCCAGCCCTGCCCTGCCTGAGCCTTGGTTTCCTCATCTGCTTAATAAGGTATCGGGCTTGATCAAGTGCTCCTTCCTTCCACCCTGGGTCCCATGAAGCAGCAGGGCCAGGCTAGGTGCAGTGGGCAGTGGTACCAGGTGGACTGGGGCAAAGCTATTCTGGTCGGGGAGGGCTGTATGAACCCCAGGGCCAGCCCCGCCCAGCGAGGAGCCCTGGGCAGTCTGGGAACCTGTCCTCCACCACAGAGGATCAAAGTCAGGGCCTAGGGTGGGCTGCAGTGACTCCCAGCAGCGTGTCCACTCCTCTGTGGGGGCTGAATGGCTCATTTGAGAATGAGAAATTTTTAACTCAGATCCAAGCCATTTTGTCTCTGAGCAAACCAGACACCTGAAATATTCATCAAAAAGGGCTATAAGTGGTCTGGGGCGCTGTGAGGTTATTAATGACAGTGTTTTTTGGTGTTTTCTTAAAATTAATAGACTTCATACTTTAGAGCTATTTTAGAATTACAGAAAATTGAGCAGATAGTACTGAGTGCTTACCACTCCCTGCCCCCTCGAAAGTCTCTCTGTCACCATCTTGCAATAGTTTGGGACATTTACTGCGTTTGGTACTGGTACATTGCTACTAACTAAAATCTGCAGTTTGCAGGAGGGTTCATGGCTCTCAGCACTGTGTCATCTGTGGGTTCTGACATGTCATACCATGTACCCCACTGCAGTGTCACACAGAATGGCTTCACAGAATGCTCCATGCTCCACCCGTCATCCCTCTGACCCGGGGGAACCACCATGTTAGTGACATTTTCAGGTCTCTGGGTAAAAAGAGACACAGCGGACCAGACCTGGGAATGGATGTGACCTGCTACAGAAGGGAAGCCTCAGCAGGAGCCTGTGGGTAGGGCAGCCAGCCACCAGCTTTCCAGACAGCCACAACTGACGGGTGGGGTGGGCAGAGGGCAGGCCAGCGAAGGCAGTGCCCTGTAGTCCTCAGCCAGCATCCTTGTGACCTGTTCCCATCAACAATACTTGTCACAGTAAATGTGTGGGGTTTTTCCTTATCCATACCCAGTTCTCCAACTCTCTGGACACCAACTGTCATCCAGCAATTCAGACCAATTCTGCCACTGGCTGCCCAGAGTCAGCACCAGACCCGGTCCTGTCCTCTAAAGCAACTGCATATCCAGAGCCCCCCATGCTTCTGACCAACAGGCTATAAATGGAGGGTTTCCTCAACACCCCATCAGGGTTGAGAATTTCTACAGCAGCTCACAGAACTCAGGAGGGCACTTTCCTTACATTTACTGGTTCATTCCAAAGGAGACAATTCTGGGGACAGCTAAGTGGAAGCAATACACAGGGCAGGTGTCGGGGAGGGGCTGGGGCTTTCCGGGCTCAAGCCTAATGGTATTTTGTAAAAGGTTCAGGAAGGCATCAGGGTGTAGGAGATGTTTAAAGAGTCGAGAACGTGGGTGGGAATTTTTGAGGCAGACAGAGTGCAGGATAGGGGATGCCCTCTGCAAAGGCTCAGACAAGGCTCAGACAAAGGCTCAGACAAAGGCTCCACTCCTTGGAGGACAGGAGTGCTGGGCTGGGAGGTCCAGGAGTGGGGTCACCAGGTGCAGGGGGCAGTCAGTGTCAATCTAGTAAGGAGTTAGGACTTCATCCTCCTGGCAGTGGGGAGCCATGGAGGCCTCTGGAGCAGGGGACTAGCGCCCACACTTCCTGAAGTAGGAACAGGGTGTGTTTTCTTGGGAAGCTGTAAAGTTCCCTGGCTTTGTACACTTTGGGGAAATGAGTACAAATGACCCCACTGGTGCCCGGACACGAGAGCACAGGCTCTGTAACCACGGAGCAGATGTCCAGCCAGCCGGCCAGGGCAGCTGGCACCCACCCTTCCCTTCTCTCCTCGCTGCAGGAGAACCCCTACCTGTGCAGCAACGAATGCGACGCCTCCAACCCGGACCTGGCCCACCCTCCCCGGCTCATGTTCGACAGGGAGGATGAGGGGCTGGCCACCTACTGGCAAAGCATCACGTGGAGCCGCTACCCGAGCCCGCTGGAGGCCAACATCACCCTGTCCTGGAACAAGAGCGTGGAGCTGACGGACGACGTAGTGATGACTTTCGAGTACGGCCGGCCCACGGTCATGGTCCTCGAGAAGTCCCTGGACAACGGGCGCACGTGGCAGCCCTACCAGTTCTACGCCGAGGACTGCATGGAGGCGTTCGGCATGTCCGCCCGCCGCGCGCGCGACATGTCCTCGTCCAGCGCCCACCGCGTGCTGTGCACGGAGGAGTACTCGCGCTGGGCCGGCTCCAAGAAGGAGAAACATGTGCGCTTCGAGGTGCGGGACCGCTTCGCCATCTTCGCCGGCCCCGACCTGCGCAACATGGACAACCTGTACACGCGGCTGGAGAGCGCCAAGGGCCTCAAGGAGTTCTTCACGCTCACCGACCTGCGCATGCGCCTGCTGCGCCCGGCGCTGGGCGGCACCTACGTGCAGCGCGAGAACCTCTACAAGTACTTCTACGCTATCTCCAACATCGAGGTCATCGGCAGGTAAGGCCCGGGGAGGCCCCTGGCGCCTGGCCGGGACGTGGTGACCTGTGTTCCATTGGAGGGTTGTCACGACGAGAATCTGGGCTTTTCCATAGAGGGAGGTGCATGTGTGGGTGACAAACGTCCACCGTAGAGGTGGACTGCAGGGCAGGAGTGGAGCTGGCCAGCATGGCCAGGGCTGGGATGTCGCTCGACGCTGGTGTGCGGGAGGTGCTGCAACTCGTCACTGGCTCAGTGGACAGGGTGTCGTGCTCAGGGGTACTTAAGATTCACACCAGAAAGATTACAGTAAAAAGATACAGATTAAAATCAGCAACAGGTATGCAGGGCAGGGTCCAGGGGAGCCAGGTATGAGCTCTGGGTGTCCTCTCCTAGTGCATCGAGTTCTCTCAGCAACAGTGTAGGACAGCCAGGGAGTGTCGCCAGCCAGGTACACTTGCCTGAGCCTTGGTACAGCCGCACTTTTATTGAGGCTGATCACGTGGGCATGACTGAACATCATGCAGCTGCCTGGTCTCCAGTACGTTAGAGGCTGAGCTGATGCTGCGTCACTGTGGCCTTACCGTAAATCACATCATTAGCATAGACTCTGGCGGCCCAAGACGTTCAGGCAAACACTTATACCTCACAGGGTTTATGAAGAGTTAGAGGTCACCTGTAAGGAGCTGGACCTGGGTCAGACCTGCCTTTGGAATGTGCAGGATGTGGACAACTCAGGTCTGCTTACGTGACTTTTACTGCATGGTTCTGGAGAAGAGTATGTTTACAGACACTTTGGGGGAGGCGAAGGAAACTGTCCTGGCAGGTAACAGCTGCCTTTGATTCCTAGAACTTTTATATCCTGGGCGGTTGGATGGTTCTTCATTGTCCCAGGTCGTTTGTTCACTTGATGGATAACGCGTAGGTCTGTGGGCAAGGTCTCCATCCCTGAGCCCTCTGTAGAATGAGGGTGGTGACGATCATGCCTCTCTCGCTGCATCAGGTGAGGATTAAATGAATAAAATTGATGAAGCCCTCAGAAAAGTACACAACACATAATATGTGCTAAAAAAAAAGTTGAGTAAAAATTGGACAAAATAATGAAACAAGAGGGCTGGGGCAGGCTAAGGGAGGACAGGATTGAGAAGAGAGGGGTGCTGGGCATAGTCAAGGCAGCAGCACATCTGAGGCACAGGCCGGGCCGCACCTGAGCATGGCTGGGACAGTGCGCTGTGGGCACCTCGCCACTGCAGGCTCTAAATGCCCGGGTGTGTGATTCCTGATGCGTACAATGCGTCTGTTCCTTTTGGTTCTGTATCTTGAAGGGACACTGAAGAGAACTTTGGACAAGCACAGGGAAAATGTCATGGGGGCCTGCCGAGTGGAATTGGGTGGGGCCTGTGTGGTGCTTCTGATTTCAGCTTATGTTTGCATTTTACTTTACCCTGACAATGTGCAGAGGCAAGGAGTTTGTTAAGTGGAAGTCAGGCTCAAGGCAGATGGGCGTAAAGCAGGTGCACAGAGGCCTGTGGTTCTGACACCCGTCCCTGCCAGCCCTTCCCTAATTGAGACAGGATATTTAAAATCAGAAAGCTCTGGAAACCAACCAATAAATGGGCACTGCTAGGGAAGCTGAGTCCAGACTTTTGACCTCTGGTCATTTCTGTGACTTCTGCCCTTAGGATACATTGTCTAGTTGGTGTAAGACACTCCCCGGGCTCCACAGGCCTGCTGGGCTTAGCAGCTCGGGGGTGGGAACCAGGACCCCAGGCCTTCCTCAGATCCTGGCCTGTTTTCTGACCTGCACTGGGCTCTGGCAGTGGACACTCATCTGAGTCCATTCAAGGGCCACCCTACACTTTATTAGGCGACCGACATGGGAGTCCGGACATCTGGGCTGGCTGCAGAGTCAAGGCAGGGACGGTGACAGGGCTAAGGGCCTTGTGGTGCCCCTTGATCCCTGGCAGGGTGACCTGGCATTCAAGCTCCACTCCTCTGTACCCCTCTCTGGGCCTCAGTTTCCCATCTGTGACAAGAGGCCTGGGACGGCCTAAAGGCCATGACTCACTGGCAAGGTGGCAGGGAAGTTCCTGCCCAGTGGCTCACAGCTCCCCTTGGCACCCAGCCTTTGTGGGCAGCAGGGATTAGCCATGGTGGTAGTGAAAGTATGGCAATCAATTCACAGATAGAGTAAGCACTCTTCAGGAGGCTGGTTGGCAGGAAAGTGGCAGCTCAGCGTATCGATTAATTAGGTCTGGTTAGACAGTTCAGCAAAGGGTGTGACTTCCTCCTCTTTCCCTTCTTAAATTCTCCATGGGAAAGCCCAGCTGTGCCAAGAAGCCCCAGAGAGGCTCAGAGAGGTAGGACCAGGTGGCAAAGGGAGATGTGAAACCCAAAGTTCATGAGCGGGCACCTGGGGACCCTGGGGTTCTGGGATTCCCTCAGGCCTTTTCTATCCCAGTGTTCCCTGGCACCTCCCCTGTGGCTCACTAACGATAATAGCAAATATTTACTGAGCATTTGCCGCAGCCTCCTTTGCTGTTGAGGCTGTATTAAGGACTTCGTGTGCAATTTCTTGTTTAATCAATAGTCATTTAGGCCCCAATGGTTGTCAAATGCCCAAGCTCCCCCATCTGAGGATACAGCACTGGGTGAGCCAGACCTAATTCCTGCCCCCACAGAGCCTCTCTATAGGACAGCTCCCCCCTCAGCCTCTCACATGAGGAGGCAGAGGCTTGTGAGGTCCGGAGTGGAAGGAGACCACACAGCTCCACTAAATGCCAGATGATCAAGGTCCGGCCCCCAAGAATATCCAAGCTCAAGTTGGTCTGGTTAGGCGTTGGCCCTGTGGCTTCCTCATTCCCAGTTCCAGCTCTGACATGGGCCTTGTCTGAGCTCAGGTAGGTAGTCTATCCTGTGCCCCCCACCCCCACCAACCTTCCCCTCTTCCCCACAAAGCCAGGGGTTTTTGAATTGATGGCTGCTCTTTACCCTGACCCTCAATCAGCATCTAGTTATCTGCAGCTCCAGTGGCTCCCCATGGCCACTGGAGACAAGAGTGGGACATAAAGGCACCTGGCTGGGGTGGGAGCCAGAGCAGCTAGAGAGAGCCCAGGGCCCCAGGGGATGAGAGATTGGTAAAAATCAAGGGGGCAGCAGACTGAACTGCAGTCCCATGGGTTAGTGGGGAAGACCAGGCACTGGTGGCACAAAGAGAAACGCAGCCACCTGCACCTCCTGGGCGGCTCCTCCCTACCTCCCCAGGGCCCTGCCCCTTGTGCCTGTTCCTGGAAGGCAGGGAGGGGGCGGGAGCTATTTTCTCCTTCCACACACAGGGGAACTCAGGTGCAGAGCAGAGAGCGCCTGGCTTTAAATCTGGGGCAAGCTCTGGATTGAGGAGGAATGAGATCATCCCTTTACGGTGCTGGGAGCGGGAGCAGCCCCCACTCTCAACACAAAGAGGCCCAAACCAGACCCAGCACCTTCCAGGAGAGCTTTTGAAGACAAGGTCCCCACTCACCACTATGAGCTTTGGGTCCAGAAAGGTTGGGGCAAGATGCAGAAAGCTCTTTGCAGAGGAGTGAGCAGGAGAGATGGGAGCAGCCAGGTAGATGAGCTGTCAAGACTTGTTTTCTTTTTCTTTTCTTTTCTTTTTCTTTTTTTTTTTTTGCAGTTTTTGGCCAGGGCTGGGTTTGAACCTGCCACCTTTGGTATATGGAGCTGGCGCCCTACTCCTTTGAGCCACAGGCACTGCCCAAGGACCTCAGTTTTCTCATCTGAGAAGTAGTAATGACCTCAGCAGCCTTCTATGGGGATTCCATGAAATGATGTATTTAGAGAGCTTGTCCCAGGGTGATTTTCTCTGGGTGGATGGCAGGAGAGGTTAATCCCAGGCATGGGGATCAGGCTGCCTTGGCTACAAGGCCAACACAGCACCCACCGTAGATGTGGGGGTCTACAGAGGGACTGTGGACATGTGCTTTTTGAATTCTTGGCAATTGCAAGCCCAAATGTCCGCAGGGACTGCGAAGTCAGCACATGTGGGTAACATAGACCAGCAGAAGCAACAGGGAAGGGTGTGGTCTGTGGAGAAATGGAGAGAGCAGGCCCCACACAGGACAACACACTGAATACTACCAGATCTTCTCATGTGGCAGGGACAGGCACACAGCAGATGTCTATGTGAAATATCTCAATCTTTAAAATCTTGACACCTACTTCAAAAGTTTTTAAAAACTCTACAGGTTTAAAAAAGATTCCCTTGCAGCCCAGGGCACCTCACAAGCTGCCAGCATGCCCTTGTGACTCTGAAATTGTCAGTCTGCATGTAGCTGTAACAGCAGGCACATGGCCCGTGGCTGGGCTGTCACGCCAGGAGCTGAGGCGTAGGCAAACTCCAGCAAAACATCCCGGTCAGCCCTGCCCACTCCCGATCTGGGAATCAGAAGGAAGAGGAGAGTCATCCTATTCTCACCCCCAGCCGTGTTTGGGGGCAAATTCCTCCACCCAGAAAATTCTTGGAAGCTCTGGGGAAGGAAAAGTGAGTTTCCCATTCCTGGAGGGATTTAAGCTGAGTGCAGTGGTGTTCATGGGAGCTGATGGAGAGAGGTCCTGTGTGCCAGACTGAAGTCTTGTGCACCTGTTCTGCTCAACAATAGTAAATATGGATTAAATGAACGGGAGCAGTAGTACCGTTTACTCCATGTGTGCAATGTGCTGTGTCCTCACTCCCTTTCTACCTGGCAGGTGACCTGCTAGATCCCAGAGGCTGAGCTGGGCCTGGATGGGTAGATCTGATCTCTGGACTGGCCATCCCTGGCTTCCCCACACTCTACTGGGGCTACCCCCAGCCTGGCTCTCTCCTCCCTGACCGCCCTCTCTTGCCTTATGAATGGCCAGGGTAAGGACAGCAGAGAGAAAAAGCCTCTAGGGATGCAGAGAGACGTGCTTCAGCACTGCTCATTCCTGTGCCCACCTTCCCCTCTTCCGCTGTCCTACAGGAAGAACAGGGGCAGAAGGGA